TGATTGGTTGGGATGACTTGTCGCGTCCGCCGAGGCCGGTCGGGCCGGCGACCGACATGCACGGTTCCTCTCGCCGCTGGCATGTGGCTCCGTTGGCTTTCTCCATTACTTTAAAAAGTCGCGAATAAGCATTCGTGGACATATTCAAAAATTAATTCCAAAATTCTAAATTGTAAGACTGAGTTTATGGTCATACTCTAAAAGAGTAAACGTTCGCATTCTTGGTACGATCGTCAAAGCAGGGTGTTTCCACGTCAGAAAGTTCAATGATAATCTATGTCGTGTTTTATTTTATATATACAAAAAATATATATGTGAAAGCCATGATATCAGCTATATAAACCACGTGGCTGATTTTGTTCCGAAGATATGAACTTTTGAAGCTCAAGGCGTGGAGACTGCCAAGGTTTTACATTGATACTTTGCACAGTCGTCAATTTTACACTGAAAACTGCACGTAGTAATAGTTTTTTTTCAACGTATTTTATAAAAAAAAGTTTACATCACAGGCACAGAATATTCAACTTTACACCAAACAATTTATGTACAAAGAAATAAAATTACGATCACGTCAAGTAAACACGTCTTAGAGACAAATGTATTTATTTATTTATTCAAAATACCTAAAGGCCTTTCAGCATTACATGAGACGGAGGGGGGGGGGGGGGGCCCAACACAGTTGGATAAAAACATGAGAAATAACGCACTGCCCATACCGCACAGAGTATTAACATCAGTACAATAGCACTGGTATCAATATGTCATAGTCATTACAGAAGTAGTTGATGCAAAACACGTAAACTCTGAAACGAAACAGAGAAATATACATAATTATCTCCAATGTTGTAAACATGGACAAATCATATACCAACTACTTCATATAAAATGACAGAAAATGCATCAAGTTGAGCATCTTTATGTATTTTCAGAGTATATAACAAATGTACCGAGACCTTTTTGTAGTTGTGTTAGTGCAGAAACGCGACTGATTTATTTTAATATATGAAAATTGAGCGTCAATATTTAAAACAAAGAACTTATAATGTTTTAGTCTTCTTTTAATCGTCTGCAATGTCGTGAAGTAAGTAGTGATGGAAAAATACTGAGTAACATATAATCTCCAAAAGACAAAAACGAACAACCTGGACTCAAATTGAACTGCTTTGTTTCCAGAGACATTTTCTAGAACCGACAAAGGCTGTACAGCGGTGCTGCTCTATTATAGGGTGTAGAAAATCGTGCTATCCATAGCTTAGCTTTATATTCGTGTCTCGTTAAATTGCTGCCTTACTGTAATTGTTGGCATTTTTTATATCATCTTCAACGCAGGGTGTGTCCACTTCAAAACGTACAATGATAGTCCGGGTCAGATCTTTTATATTTATAAAACACATATATTTGGAAGCTATGTTCTTGGGAGGAATATTCAGCTATATAATAACGCCGTGGCTAATTTCCTTCCAGAGTTATGAAATTTCGAAGCTCAAGGAGTGGAGACTGCCAAGATTTCACTAAGATCCTTGCCCCCCCCCCCCTCCCCCCCCCCCCCCCCCCCCCCGTCCCCTCAATCTTTGTGCCTTTTGCTTAAGAAGCACTCTTGGTGGACGCCCCTGCTTGCTGACAGTTGAGAACTGCATGCACAGTCTGTAACCGTGAAATGTAAAGCCCGCACACGAAGAACGTCTGTCACCGCGAAAACCAAGGCTAGGGAAGTAGTATCTGGAACTACAGGTTTGACTTGAGCTAGTTGTTACATATTAAATAGAGTCAGCTAAACAGTTACAAATAGGAGCAGCCTAGAAAGGAAAATACATACACACCGCTGACTGAAAACTTGCTTGCTTTAATACTTCGGTTTTCTCTTTTTTTTATACTTCAGCATATCCGCGCGTTGCATCTTTTAGGATGTTAAGCGGCTCATGTCACACCCCAAGTATTGCCTTTCTTTCGCGTGGATCGTGATAGACGAGGTTGGGGTGGTCACGCACATTCGACCACTTCCTTCAATGGCCAGGGGGTCAATTACTTCGTGAGCATATGCGTTCCTGTCTCCCTATAATCGTAATGTTGTCAATATTAGGGGCGGAATTGTAGAACCGGCAGTGTGCAGAAAAATGTCTAGCCGATGTTCCTTTAACAGAGGCCGTGTGCCTCTGTTAAAGAAATTCGACCGTTGACACACCGCCCAGTTTGCCCTATGTAGCACTTGTCACAGGAATATGGTATGTAGAAGGCAACGCCCATTTGGAACGGGGTATGCTGCGTCCTGTGAGCAATTGTGCGTTTTTGTTTTTCTTGACTTGTTGTTTGATTAGTTCAGCGGTACATGGACCTTGTTTACGCCTTGTTTGTGCCGAGCACACAACCCCGATATCATGCCTCACGGCAATCTTTTTGATGTTGTGTGTGAGTCCATGTATGCAGGGTATAACAGCAACGTCTCTTCGATATGTAGCTTTCGTAGACACCTCATTCCCTGCATGCTGGCGTTTCAATTTCTGGCAAATGGCAAAAGCACTAAAGAAGTCACGTCACCATCAACTAGAACCAAGTTTTTAAGACCAGATAAGGCGTCTACGTGAGGCTGGTTATCCAGAGTCTCCCCTGGTGGCCGTTTCTGAAACCATCTGCACACTGCCGGTCCTGCAATTTCACTCCTAATATTAACAACATTACCATTATAGGGCGAGACCGGAACGCATATGCACGCGAAGTATTTGACGCCCTGGCCATTGAAGAAAGTGGTAACGATCCACGCGAAAGAAATGCAATACTTGGTGTGTGGCACGAGCCGCTTAGCCTCCTAATGGGTGCAGTGCGCGGACATGGGGGGTGGTCTTTTATCACTAGCTATAGTACAAAGAAAGAAAAAAAGAAGACGAAGTCTTAAAGCAAGCAAGTTAACAGTCACCGGTGTGTATGTCTTTTCTCTCTTGGTTTTTCTTATTTGTAACTGCTCAGCTGACACTATCCATTATCTGGAAAGTCGATATCTTGGTGTTCAGCATTGTGGGACGACAAACAATCCAGGTTACCATTTCTAAGTATCGATGCGTACAGTACGATATAATACAAATTGAACTTGATAACCAGAAGGGCATTGCTGTTGGATGTTTCCACGTCAGTTTATACAATAACAAAGTTCGGGTAATAGTGTGCATACTTCTGTACATTGTACACTACGTGAAAGGCATGTCATTGGAAGAAGCACTCATCTGTATACCTATATGTATACCGGGTGTTTCACGAAACGCGGGCGAAATCTTTTGTGTGACAAGTACGCATTGCACAGGGAAAGGATTGATGTTGTACTGATCCCTGCCAAAACGCTAATTTTGGAAAACAGAACTGTGTTAAATAAAATTAGGTTCATAATTATTTCTAGTAATTAACTCCGTACCTGATAATTTTTTACGTATCAGTCATATTAAAACATTGTCGGCATCATCTAAAACTATTAAATACACCAACATTATAAAGATATAAGGCATGCGCAGCATTTTACGGTGCTCCAAAAAACACTTAATTCGGACGCGTTAAAACAAAAAAAGGGGGGGGGGGGGATCTTAGAGGGTGACGCAAGGAAACACAAATATACAGCTAAGCTAGGTACCGCACGACTTTCTACACCTTACGATAGAGCAGTATCGCTCTGCGGCCTTTGTCGGTTCTAAAAAATGTCTCTTTGGTGTTACGTCATGCGGCAAAACCTCTATAACGAAGAGAGGCTAGCTTAATTAGAGCAAGGTTTGTTGTCGTTTTTACCCCTTTGTAGGTCATATGTGGCCAGCGCCGTAGCAAGAGGGAAGAGGGGCGCGGACGTCTGCGCCCCCCCCCCCCCCCCCTTCTCTCGCTCTCCTCACCGAACTCTGGTATCCCCGGGGAAAGGGGGTGGGGGGGGGGGAGGGGGGGGGGGGCGACAAAAGAAATAGGTGCACCGGGTGCCGGATCGCCTCGCTACGCCACTGAATGTTTCTCAATGTTTTGCCTTTACACGTTAGTTCGTGACACAGCAGACAATTAGAAAAGTTTTAAGGAGATCAAAGAGTGAGCTTTTTAGGCATTAACGTGCAATTTTGCCACATTCAGAGAAATCAGCTGCGTTTCTGCATTAATAACGTATTTACAATAATGGCTAAGCATCTTTTATATATATATATATATATATATATATATATATATATATATATATATATATAGATATATATATATTCTTAGAATGCATTTAAAGAGTGTCATATTAATGCATTTTGAGCCATTTCATAAAAGTAGTTTGTTGATAAATAATTTGTGATATATCTCTAAAACATGTTTGCTTGACGTGTTTTTAACTTTTTTCGTTTAATTCTTATACGTTTTTTTGTGTTTCTTTAATGTTTTGTGTAATGTTGTAAACCTTTCATTATATAAGTAGGAAAAACTATTAGTACGTGCGTGCTGCGGTGTGAAATTGGCGGCTGTGTAAAGTACCATAGTGAATCGTTGGCAGTATCCAAGCCTCGAGCTTCGAAATTTCATATCTCAGGAAGAAAATGACCTACGGCGTTGATAAGTGGCTGAATGCTCCTCCAAAGAAGGTCAGTATAGGGGAGCAAAATAAATATGACCCGGTCTGTTATTGTACGATTTGACGTAGAACACCCAGCATAGAGCCAACAGCGCAGTTGGCATTGTAAATGACCACAATGTGAGCCTAAAATTCACAAAGCCAGCAGACGTCCGAGAAACAGCTTGCGGTAAATGCAAGTGTTAGAAATTAAACATTCATTACAAAACGGGAGAGCAATCCCCACTCACCGACAGGAATCCCACGCAACACACTATCCTATTTTAGACAGAAAAGTTTGTATTCCTAGGTTTTAGCTGGAGAAAAGCTCTTGTTTCCTGTTCTGGGCAAAATGTTAGCTATGATATTGTAATCCTTCCTGTGATCTTTTTTTTTTCTTGTTGTACACTACTTCTACTCAAACGTTGAACAATATTGTTTTTTTTTTCAACAGGTGTGTGTAAGCGGTTGGTGTGTCAACATGGCAAGTGGAGCGGTTGTGCAGCCTGAATAAAAAAATGTCTCTCTTGATCGTGTGCTCCTTTCCAAATTTAATATTAGTGATCTATTTCAAGCTTTTAATAGTACATTTTTCCAGACCCTTCACTGCCATGGCATTCTTGTAAATCTCATTTTACACTTGTGGGTGTAAATTATATTATTTAAAAAAAACACAAGACTAAAATAAAAAAAATAATAACAACTGCCTACGTTTCATTTCCGACTGTGTTGAGAAGTATTCAAGTACATTGTAATTAAAGGGAAGTTGAAGCGGTTTTGTATTTATAGAAACACACTTAGATCTTCTTCATTCAAACTCCACGATCTCAAATGTCAAAATTATTTCTTAATTTGGTGAATCGAGGCTGCATAGAATCATTCTTAAAGTGCCACTGAAGGCCCCCCTTTCCTATGGGTGACGTCACAAAAGGAGTTTTCGGAATCTCCGTTCTCACGCATCTTCAGCGCCTATTAACGCTATGCACGCGCACACGCTATTTTTAAAAAAGGGCAGAAAAAGACTTCACGACTGGTGCAAGTACGGAGGAATATACCTGGAAAGCTTGCGATTGGGGGAATATACCTGGCAAGCTTGCAAAATATCCTCTTTTGAGGTCAGTATTGGTTGGAGGATTTTAGTGTTTTTTCTCGTCTAGTTACATCTTCGGGGAAACGAACATGATGTTCAGATTCACTGGACAAAATTACTACGCTAGCATCAACCTCTACCTTATTTCTTGAAATAACTGTATCAGCTTCCGTTTAAAGCCCTAAATTAAGCAGGTTTAAAAAACGTTTACTTCGCTTAAAGTACATCGTCTGAGTGTGTACTTGCACTTTACTTCAAGTATTGTTCTGATACTCTCCGAGGAAAACATATCTCCCGACTTCAATCTACATTTCCCAAATTCGGTCTTCTTAAATTTGCATCACAAAATTATGATTTGTGAAGTCTAAAGAAATACTGGCATTTCAGGTGGTGCATGAAATAACCTAATCCTGATACCCCGTCTCAAAATACCCTTTGCAAATACTCTGCGTTATCTACCCCGTCTCTAAAATCCCCGGCTTTCCAAAGACCACTCACACGCAAACCCCGCACTGGATTCCCCAGCTTTCATTGTCCGGCCTAGATCAAAGAACTGCGGCCAAATGCGTTCTTTAAATATTAAAGTCGAAAAGCGTGACACGTGACTTCAATTTATACAAAGGCTGGAATTGAGCTAGTTGGTTTAGCACAGTTTAAGAAAAGAGCGCATAAAAAAGAAAGACTTGGAGAAAGGGGACATACACACAGCGCGATTACCGGAGATTAAAATTCTTAAATCTGCACGAAACAGAAGGCAAACAAGAGACGAGAAAGATAAAGGAACACAATTAACCCGATCAAACAGCCCCAGCATACCGACACGTGCCTACCCAAGCTTGCCGCACCTCTTGATAAAGTGCAACTCGGCACCCGTTAAGGCCACCAATGGGGCGCTAGCAAGCATGTTCTATTCACAACTAGCAATAAGAAGGACTCCTCATGCTACCGACATCAAAGCCCACAATTAGCACCCCACAGAGCACAATTAGTACACACACACAATACCCAACATAAACACCGGGCTGAACTCACAAGTCCCTTTTGTATTTCTTTATTGTTTTCTTCACGTATATTAAACCATATACACAAAATTGCATGCCATTGTCTCTTTGTGAATACGCACGCCTCAAGACAGAGATTGCTTGAGAACTCAAACAGGTCGGATGCCTTGGTTTTTTCTTCCACACGTAGGGAATGTTTGCATTCAGAATATTTTATTTAACATCCTGATCGTCTCGTAGCTAACCAACTCGTACACGAACGAACAAGAAAATTTAAACTAAACAGCGAACTCGCGAAACCCGGTTAAAAATAGGACGGGAGCCAGATGCAAGTCAAGACTTTGCAACCTATCAAGACCCATCCGCGCGGTAGTGGAGGCGTGGAGGCACAAAAAGTGCGCTAAACTCTTAGAAATAAACGTAGTGTAGGCACTTACATGTGCTACGTGATGGCAAGATAGACAGATATCCAGCTCGTCTTCGTTGAAGATTCAAACTTTTAAGTGTGATGCGTGCCCAAATGATGTGGGATTGCTAAGAACAACGCCACCGGGAGTGTAACGTCTTAAAGGTTGAACTGTCGAGCTGGTCGAGGAGACACCTGCTAAATAAGACGTTTCTAGTAACAAGTAAGACCGAAACTTCTTATACATGCGACACACTGACATATGACCGCGTCAACACAACAACCATACCTCGGAAAACCTCACTCGTGAACGCACTCACCTCACTCACCCTCACCGAGCAGGCGTGAGTTGAGGATCAGTGAGTCGTAAGTCCCGAAAACTCGTGAGTTTGAGGTCGATGAGGGGCGTCAGTTTGGTGAGTTCATGAGCTCGATGAGTTCACGAGTTCAGTGAGTTCGATGAGTCTCTAAATTCGATGAGGAGCGTTAGTTCATGAGGTCGGTGGGGTCGTGAGTTTGGCAAGGCATGAGGTCCCGAGGGGACATGGTTGCGATGAGAATCGGCAGGGTGACGTCAAGGAAGGACTTTTCCGTAAATTCCCGGGTAAGTTGAGTCTACTCTCGCTTCGCACCGGCGCTGTTAGTTCGCACGGCTTAGAGGAAGTGCATAGGCCGCATGTTCAAGTGTTCTTGAGTACGGCTGGTTTTCTACGAGTGAAGGGAAGGGAGGAAAGAGCGCCGATGGATGTATCTCCGCTCTTTGGCTCTGGCTCGTTTCTCGGCGGCTTGGCGTGGTCTTTTGTCGCTCGTCGATGGTTTCGTTGCGGGGTGAAGTGAGCTCTTTCGTTCGTCTGGGCCTTTTTTGCGTAGACTGCGAGGCACCGATATACGCGCGGTGTGCAGGAAAATGGGCGCTACACCGGTTCTACCGAAGGCAGAAGTTTCTATTGCGAGTGCGCTCGTCTTAGGCACGGTCCCTAATACTGAACCGAACATTAAAATGACAGCCGGCTGGAAACTGTCACGATTCGCCGGTATGCGTTTTCGTTCAATTTGAAACCTGGAGTTCTGTAAAAAAGAAAAAAAGTACGCATCCAGATCTTTGTGCTCGTGTACTTTCAAAACGCCGAACTTGTTCGCAACTGGTTTTAAAGACTGCTTCATTTATTTGGCAGCATATCGAAGTTAATTTGACTGTTGACTGTCATGGAATAATTGCAGACATTAAGTTTCTAGATTATATTCAAAGAGATAAGAAACAACCGTTTTACTTTTGCTTAATATTGGTGACAACAAATTCTTGATGTTTCTAACCTGCTGTCCGACGCCCCGTTAGTCGTTCAAGAGGGAGATATTGAGGACAATCGTAATACTGCTGCATCCGAAAACACTTCCCGTGCAGGAGAAAGTGTTTCCTTACTAGCTCCAATAGTATTTAGCTATTAGTTATGATTCCTATATATTATTATTTATCAAACGTTACAGCTCACACCGGTGCACGTCCCGCCTATTTACGAGACGCGCTCTTTTTCGTTCCTTACTTCTACATGCGCGTGCGTGCAAGGAAGTAACCTTCCCCGCCCGAAGAAATTAAGTGCCCCAATATTTCGTATCTAACAAAACAAATCTTGAAGAATTGTACACTGTTTAATTACGTTGCATGACCGCTCCCCCCCCCCCCTCTCCCGCCCGTCAAATAATGCGCGGCTATCCGAATTAGGCTACCAGTAGTTAGAAAATAAGCAATTTACATATTGTTGGTAAAAGAATGTGCTCTTACACCACTAGGTCGCGATCTATCTATACAAATTAGTTAACACAAAATGAAAACTAAAGGGAAGCTAAAGATGTTTTGAAAAAAACCGAGTTACAGGTGAATACTACAGTATTTTTATCCCGTGAATGAATATCACGTTCGCTTTTCCCAAAGATGTGACTAAACGCGAGAAGACACAAAAAAAAAAAACTCCGACCAGTCGTTACGTCGTAAAAACATATTTGAACCGTAAAGCACGTGTCGCTCGTGTGGGCAGCGCGTGCAATTACAACCTCGCCAGGTATGTTCCCCGAACTAAGAGCCGTATATAAATATAGTTTGGTCATTCATTGGGAGGTATAGGAGGCTAATGAGTAGGCGCCATTGGCCGAAAGCGGGGTGGGCATGTTCTAGAGCGTCTTCAAAAACTCGAATGTGGCGAATTAGAAGTCGGAAGTAATACCCTGGCGGTAGTCCCGAGAAACGAAATTAATATATGCGTCAGAGCAACTCTCCGAGATTACAAATATGGTGCACGTGATGTTTCAATCATGTTCATTCAAAAATCTTGGTCAAAGTGCGTGACTACACTGTAAAAAAATATCCCGTCAAATTACTAGAAATATCCAGTCAATTTTTGATGCCGGTACAATTACCGTTGTCTTGCACCACGGTCACACCATTATCTAGGTATTACGTGCTTGACAGTAATGAAGCCCTTCGGTTTTTGCCTATAACTTGACCCGTAGAAGCATGGCAGAAAATTCGTAACTTTCACAGTACTGCACGTGGTGCACAGATACGGGAATTGTTCCGAAATCAAAAATTCGCTGGCGTTTTGCCCGTAACTTGCGACGGCAGAAAATCGTAACTCTTTATGACTGAGTTGCACGTGATGTGCAATGACGGAAATCGTTCCGAAATCGAAAATTAGCTGCCGTGTTGTTTATAACTTGCAACAGCAAAAAAACGTAGATCTCAATCACTGAGCTGTACGTGATGCGCGAAAACAGGAATCGTTCCTACATACAAAATTATCTGGCGTGTTGTCCACACGTTGCAGCGACGGCCAGAGCCTGCTGAAGTGCTAGCTGCTGTGACTTAACAAAAAGGACGTCTCAGTGAACAATAAATCTAGCATTTTACTTCTATATTTATTGTTCACTGAGATGTCCCCCTATTGGAAAACCCCAATATGAAAAGCGTATTACGGATATTGGTAAATAATATCTTTTTATTTTATTACGATACGATATGGACT